GGCTGCGCAGGGAGCAGCCAGCCCCTCTGGAGAACAGCAACAGCAGAGCCGGGGCTGCTCAGTGCAAGGCTGGGCATGCAGAGAGGGAGGAGCAGGACCTGGGGCTGGTGGGATTCCCAGGGATCCATGTCAGCTGTTTCCTGCTGCCTGCAGCTGGCCGCGAGGTTTGGCAATGCAACCCTGGGTCTCATTCTGCTAGAACCTGGCTCCTGCTCCTGGGGCCCCTCTGGAGAACAGCAACAGCAGAGCCGGGGCTGCTCAGTGCAAGGCTGGGCATGCAGAGAGGGAGGAGCAGGACCTGGGGCTGGTGGGATTCCCAGGGATCCATGTCAGCTGTTTCCTGCTGCCTGCAGCTGGCCGCGAGGTTTGGCAATGCAACCCTGGGTCTCATTCTGCTAGAACCTGGCTCCTGCTCCTGGGGCTGTCACTCCAACAGGCCAGGCAGAGGATCCCAGACTACTGGGCCGTCTGCTAAGGTGGGCAGCACCTCAGCGTCATGTCTGTCCCTGTGGAGCCAAGATTATCTACCATGATTATGGCAACTGGGCTGCTGCCACCCTGGGGCACTGGACTGGGGCTGTGGAGTGCAGTGGGACCGAGCTGGGACCCCCGCTGGGCACTAAGCCAAAGCTCTGCCTTTGGGGTAAAATCCAGGATAAGCAGCTGAGAGGAAGAGACTTAGGCAGCTGCTTGGACAGCCCTGAATGGGAGGCCAAAGGGCTGGAACCGGCCGTGTCACCAGCTGCAGATGTCCGGGAGATCGGCAACAGGACAAGCCCACACCCCGCTCAGACCTGCTGCCTTGCTGGAGAGCTCAGCTCTGACTCTGCTTTGGCCAGTGGGAACAGCGCAGGCAGCCTCTGACACACCATGCTGGGAAGCAGCCAGGCCCCCGCAGTGGCGCTCTTCTGAGGGTCAATGAGGATGCTTGGGAGCCAGAGCTGGAAGGCCTTGGGGAAGGAAAAAGTCGCTCCACTTGGGTTCTTCAGCCAGCGGCTGGGAATTCACTGCTGCAGAAAATGAGAGCCACAAGGGGGCTCCTGGAGCAGACCTTCAGGCTCAGAATCCCATGACTCCAGCACCCAGCCTTTGTCCTTAGCTAGCTAGGTCCCCTGGGAGTGTCATGCCTGGCCTGTGCCCTGCAGCCTTTTAGCCTGGCCGCTCAGCACTTGCCCTGAGACCCCTTAGCCCAGGCATAACAGCGCCTGCCCTGTGCCCTGTGGCGTGGCAGGGCAGGCAGCCGGCATATGCTTCTGCTCAGCTCGAGCATTGAGATCTGAGGGGTGCAGGTCTCTTCCTGTTATGAGACAAGGGGCCAAGTGTGCTGGAACTAGCATTTTGGGGGAAGCTGCTTGGGGAGCTGCTTTGTGAGGGGCTGTGTGTGAATTGGGGGGGGGAGTGTGCGCCTGCATATGTAGATTGTGTTGAGGAGGGGGGCTGTGCATATTTACAGACTCGGGGCCGTGTGTGTAGGTTGTGTCTGTACGCGACGGGGGTTGTGCACATCTGCAGGCAGGGTGTTGTGCGTGTCATTTGAGCTGGTGTGTGTCCCTTTGTGGTGGGGCTGTGTGTGCTGGGAGGTTGTGACACATATGTCTGACTCTGTAGAAGCCTGTAGCGGGGCCGTCCGGCTGTACTGTGGTGGGGTGCTGAGGGTGCAGCTTGTGTTGTGGGGAGGCTGCGGTGAGTCAGTGGAAATCTTTACTCCCCATCCTTAGCCACCGGTGCCAGACAGGCCCTCTGCCCTCCCCCTCTGGGCTGTGGCTTCATCCCTCACAGACATTCCTAATGTGGGGGAGGACAGGGATGGGGCCTGGGCTGTGGTTTGTGGGGCTCTGCTCTCCAAGGGCTGATATCCCATGTGCTGCTGGGACAGACATGGCACTAGCTAGCATCCTCAGCCACCCGCTGTCCTCCTGTCCCTCTAACCCAGGTCTTGCTGACAGGGGCTGGCTCCCCTGCCCAGAGGAGCAGAGATGGCCAGGGGATGGGATGGTCTTTGCTGTCTGGCTTTCCTGTAGGATGCCGGAAGAGCTGGGGCTGCTGGTTGGACAATCCCACGGGCAGCCTCAGATGACCCAGCCTGAAGGGGAAGCAGCTGCCTCTGCTTTTTCCTTCCTTGCACATCCTCTGTGGCTGCCGCTCAATTTAGCACCAGTGACCAGGCCCTGCAGGGAGTCTCATCCCCAAGTATGGTAGGGTGGCTGGCTGCCCATGCTCCAGGGCTCCTGCTTGCACTGGGAGCCTTTCCCCCAACTCAAGCCCACCGTGCATCCAGACACCGCTGTGCTGGGCAATATCGGGGTGGCAGCCCCAGCCCAAAAAGGTGCAGTCTGCTCTTCACTGGGAGTTCCTGTCTGCTGTGCCTTAGCAGGGGCGCTGTGCCCGTTCATCCTTTAACCTCACCACTGGGCTGCCTCTGAGTTCACACCCGGACTGCTGGCCTCAGCTGCCTCTGGGGGAAGCATCCAATCAAGCCTAGTCCCACCTGACAAATCCGCTTTGCTCTGGAGCTGCCGACACCCCCAGAGGAGCCGGGGAGCCTCATGGCTGAATCTAGAATTGGTGGCGTTCCGCGTGGCCTGGGATTTAATTTCAGTGCCCCTCCTCGCTGCGGGGCGTGGGAACTCACGGAGAATTTGCAAAGGGCTTGGCAGGCCCCCTGCGGTGGTGAAACCAGAGGAGCTGTTTGCATGCCTGCTAAGCAGGAGAGGCAGCTGTGCTCAGCTGGCCACAACCCCTGGCTATAAGCAGGTGTCATCCGAACCTGCCCCCACTCCTTGGCTACGTCTACACTGGCATGATTTTCCGCAAATGCTTTTAACTGAAAAGTTTTTCCGTTAAAAGCATTTGCGGAAAAGAGCGTCTAGATTGGCACGGATGCTTTTCCGCAAAAGCACTTTTTGCGGAAAAGCGTCCGTGCCAATC